CACCACAAAGTATTAATATTACCCATGTGGGATGCCTTAGGTACCTATTTAGCTTAGTAAACCTTACTACTATAAATTACTATATAAGACTTAATATAATATTAAATTTAACATAATATTAGGTTTAATATAGTGTTAGCTTTAACCAGGGACCTTAGCTTAGGGACCTTAGGTTTTAAGTGCTATTTAAATAATAAAATAAAGGTATGCCTTGCACTAAATTACCCTAATAGTTAAAAAGTAATTATAAAGGGCGTGAATATAAAAATATTTAAATACCACCTACTTTTTAAATAAAAATAACTTAAAAAATTACTTAAAGGCCTTAGGCCTCCAGGCAAGGCCTATATAAAAAGGCTAAAAGCCATAGTATATTTATTTTTTAAGTAATCTTTTTAATTAAATTTATTAAGGTTCTGAATACTTTATTCTTATTGGTTAAAGATACTTTGCCAAGCTTTATTATTATTAGTAAAGAACATCTAGGTGCTAGGGCGCCCTTACAAATAGTAAATAAAAGCTTATAGCTTATTAACTTTACTACCCTAGTAAAGGTTTTATAGTAGTTAAGCTTATAAACTTACTTAAAGCCATAAACCACCTAGCAAGCTTTATAACAAAAAATCTAGCCTTTTAGTTTTTTTTTAACTTTTAAAACCTATTTACTAAAAAGTAAGTATTTTTTAAAAGGTAAGTTAATAAGATTCCAGGTCTTATTTTTTATTAAAAAATTATATTTTTTTTACATGCCTTTAAACCACTTATTTTATTTACCTTTAATTTTAGCTTGCTAAATTATTAATTTATTTTTTTTAAAAATTTACTTATAAAGTATTATAACTAGCATTAAAATATTATTTAAGCTAGGCTTGCTAGCTAGTGCTTAAAGGTTATTTAAATAAGGTTTACTAGCTAGGGTAATTTTATTTCACGTGGCTTTAATAATATCTTAAAAATAAAATAAATAGGCTAACTTATTTAAAATTTAAAAAGCTTTTTTAAAATTAGTAATAGCTTAAGCGCGTGTATAATATACTAGGTTAGTATTATAAAAGCTAAAATCTAGGTTTTTTAAAAATATGTTAATTTTAATAACTAAATTAGTGGCTTTTACTACTAAATCCTTGGGGTTTATATACCTAAAAAGGTTACTAAAAGCTAGGCTCTTTAAAAATTTATTTTTAAGGTTTCCTTTAGTATTTAGGTTAGTGTTAGCTAGTAAGCTCTTGGGAATAAAGGTTCTTAAAAAGGCAAGAGCTTTAGAAATAAAAATCCCTGGGGATACTAGAGCTTCTGGTGCCTTGGGGATGGAGATCCCTAAAGGGTTTAAAGCTTTAGGTAATACCTTGGGAATAAATATTTTTAAAGAAGGTAAAGCCTTGGGGATAAAGATTCCTAAAGGCACTAAAGTAATTACTTTTAGTAAAGGATTTAGCCTAATATAATAATCCTTAATAATATTAATATTATATATTAAAACCATGTGGCTATTATCCAGGAGAACCTAGTATAGCTTATTTATTTTTTTATTAAACCTAACTAGTTTTTTAGTTCTTGTTTTACTATTTTATAAAGCTTTTTTTACTTTTTTAATAGGTTTAAAACATAGACCTTAAACTAAAAAATATAAATATAAAAAATATTTAGCTAGTGGCTATACTAGGCTTTAAATAATATAATATTATTTAATATAAAATGCAGAGTTTAATTATATAAATAACTAGTATTTTTATAAAACTTAAATTATATATTAGCTAGGGCTTTAGTATTATATAATATAAATTATATAAGGCTTAGTAACTTATTAATAAGTACTTTAATATAGCTATTTTATTTATATTAGTTTATACTAAATATTTTTATAATAGCACTAAAGCTATAAATAAGGTATTATAAGTTATAAATATTCTTCCCTTTTTAATTATAGTGTACACGGCATAGCGGGAGTTTAAGCATGTTATACTAGTAAATAATAAAAAAAGCCTAGGTAATAAATTTATTCTTACTAGCTAGTATTATAATTTAATAGTAATAAGATTTATTATTTATAATAAAGTTAATATATACCTTTTTATTAAACAAGAGTAGATACAGGCCGGAAACATTTATATAAAGTAGTTTAAATAGTTAATTAATAAGTATTATAATACCTTTATAAGGCTTAGCCCGCTAGCGTGTAGTAATATAAAATTTATAAATATAGCCTTTAAGCATGTGCATGCTATAAATCACCTTTTTTATTTTATTAAGCTAATTCCCGGAGGTATAGCCTATTTATTAGTATTAAAGCTAGGAAAATTTATCCTAAAAAATAAATATTACTAATATTAAAATAGCTGGTATTACTAGGCCCTGGTAAAGGTTAAAAAAAAATACTTTATAAATTTTAAAGGCCATGTATTATATTAATTTATAGCTATATAAAATAATAATATTAGCACCTTATAACTTCTTAGCTTTTATATTTTATTAGCTAAAGCTAACTAAGCAGCACTTATTTAATAGCTAAAAAATAAAAATTAGTGTAAAAAACATGTTTAGGTAGTATAAAATATTATTTAAAGCTAAAATCTTAAGCTAGCTATTAATATAATAAAAAATTTTAATAATATTAATGCCTTAGGTACTAAAAACTTTAAGGCTAATATTTTTAATACTAGGGCTAGTATAAAACTTAAGGTTTTAAAATAAAAAGTAATTATAGGTAATATGCTGCGCATAGCTATTATTTAAGGTAATTTATTAAATAAAACTATTTTAAATAGTTTTTTATTTAAAATTTAAATTAATTTAAGTTATAAGTGCTAGCTTAAGTATAAGCTTTATATTTTTTTTAAATTTAAAGTTTTTTTAGGGGTATTTAGCGCTCTTGCCACCCTAGGAGTTTTTTTAAGTAATTTTAAATTTAAAATAAAGTTAATAATAGGTTTTTTAACTATAAAAAAGCATGTTATAATAAGGGTAATAGCATGTGGTAATATTTATAATACCCTTATTTTTATATATTTAAATAATATTAAAGTAGTTTTTATAACACTTAATATTAAGCTTTATAAATATTTTATTAAAAAAAAGTACTAGGGTACTAGTGCCCTGGTTTTAGTTTAATTTAATAAACTTAATAGTAATTATAAAGTTATTTAAAAAAATAATTAATATGGTAATATCCCCCGGGAGGTATTTAATAATATAATTATTAAAATATATAGCCTTAAAATAGTTAAATTAGTTACCTAGGGCTTGGTAAAAAGTAATAATAATAAGTTTAATTAAAAGTATAATACTAACATAAGTAAATTTTTACTAAATTTTTTTAAGTTTCTTGCTAAGGTTAAAAATACTTTTATTATAAAATAGGGATATTAAGTTAGCCTAGGCCTTAAAAATTATAGTATTAGTATTAAGTTTAAGGTGGCTTTTAATTTTATTAAGTAGTTTATGCACTATTTATTTATTAATAAAAAAATTTTATAAATTAAAACCTAAATAACTAAAAATTAAGGCCACGGCATGGTCCTAGTTTTATTATTAAATATTAGCCTTATTATGGTCTACCAGGGGCGTAGGCTTAATAATAATAGCCTTAATAATATTAGCTTTAGTAGTAGGCTAAGCGGGAGGTATAATAGTAACCAAAACTTTGCTATTAATACTTACATTTTTAACTTAGCTTATAGTAAATTATTAGCCGGGGGTTTTAATATCTTTACCTGCTAAAGCTAGTATAATAAAAAAGAAACTAGTAAGGGTTTTTATAAAATATTTTTAATTTAGCTACTTTAAAAAATAGCTATAGCTAGCCTTTTAAAGCTTTAAAAATACCTGCTAGTTTTATTTAACCCACTAGTTTTTTAATATTAAAACCAGGATGTTCTTTATTTTAATTAAAATTATTTTTTTTATTTTAGCTTAGTGTAGGAGGACTAGATATAAAAAAACTAAATAGTAAAAAAATTAAAGTAGTTTAAAAGCTAGGGATTAAAGCGCTTAAGGATTAAGAACCTAAGGTAATTAAGAATAGCAAGCCCTAAAAAGTTATTATAGTAAAATTAAGGTTAAATAGGCTAAAGCCTATACTAGGATAGTTATAAAAAAAAAAGGAAAACTAGTAACTAAAAATAGCTAGTTAAAAATCTAAAGGTTAGTTTAAATTTTTAAGGAGTAGTTAAAGTTAAAGTTTAAATTAAAAAACCTAAAGGTGTTATACTACCTTTAAAAGTCTTAAAACTTTTTAGCTACTAAAAAAAACTTATTTTTATTAAAAAATTAAATGTATATGGCCCTAGAAAGCGGGTGTTTATAAAATTAAAAGCTAATTAAAAAGGTAAAAAAAAAAATAAAAAATTTAAGGTAAAAAAAAATAAAGCCATAATATTTATACCCTTATAATAAAGGCCTTATCCTAAGTATAGGGCTTTTTAACTACTATAATAACTAGTAAAGTTAAAAATAATAAAGCTAGATAGTAAAACAAGAAGATGCCATGTATTTAGTTAATATAAATTAACTTAAAAAAAAAGACTTTTAATTAGGTGTATAAGTTAAGTAAACCCGGGCTTATAACCTACTAAAAAAAATAAATAATTATTATATATAAAAGTCTTTTATATTACTTGGTATACTAAGCTAGTTATTTTAGGGATAGATAAAAAGTTTTACAGGTGGCCATTCGGGCCGAAATAACCTTCCTCCACCGGAGCCCTAAGGCCGTTGGTAGCCTCAGGCACCCACTTCCAGCAAGGTCCAGGATTGCACCGCTTAGAGAGGCATTCCCAATTTGTCAGAGCACCCTGGCCTTGCATAGTCACACCAGCCTAGGAATTTAGTTAACAGATATGGACGGAACTCAATCAATGGATGTCCAAGGTATGGTGACAGCGGCATGTAATTGTTCAAGGAAGGTGCATACCCAGCCAAGCCACGTGATGTTGGAGGGGTATGTCCCTCTTATCCATGCGGGGAACACCACCCCTGCAGTGCCCGACATCCATTCCAACAGGATGCGGCGCTTCGAGACAATCCACGACGTCGTCGAACCCGTCGAAGAGTATCGCCCAGGCGGCTACCACCCCGTCCATCTCGACGACGTCATCTGTTACAGGTACAAAATCATCGCGAAGCTAGGCTTCGGACGGTTCTCGACTGTTTGGCTTGCGCAGGATCTGGTGTGAGTCTTCCTCATACCATATGAATGGGGTGACAGTTCCATCGTGCTAACACAATCTACAACCAGCTACCTGTACGATGGCGTCAACGTCCAACGCTACGTCGCGCTCAAAATCCTCAAGCCAGGCGGCCCGGCAGGTAACACTGAGCTCGCCACTCACCAGTTTCTTCCGTCCGTCTACGAACAGAGCCGGGAGAATGTGGTCGAGCTGCTGAATTTCTTCTTCGAGAAGGGTCCGAATGGAATGCACCTGTGCCTTGTGTTTCCGGTTATGCTGGGCGACTGTCAGGATCTGGCTGTCACTGGAAAGCCACGCTGTGCAGCCGATGTGCGGTTGATCTCGAAGCAGATACTTCTGGGTCTGGATGTTATTCATCGTGAGGGGTTTATTCATTGCGGTGCGTTACCCTCAAACCAAGCCTTGTGCCCGACTAACACCAGGGGTCCGGCAGACTTACAGCCCGCGAATATCTTAATCACCAAGATCGGAGCTGCAGAGGGCGAAGATCAATCTTTGCTCGATCCACCGGAGTTTAGTCCCGTGAAGTGGCTTGACGGCGTAGAAGCCGACAACAGCGCTCCGAGATATCTGGTCCCTTCGCAGAAACGTCGCGGCGCCTTGGATGGTGTGGACTTCTCTACGCTGCTGTTTACCATAGGTGATCTTGGTTCAGGTAGGTCTAATCCATCTCTCTCATCTGTACCCATGATAACCAGTGGTAAACAACGAACTCACGCCTATCCCGTACATAGCTATGCCCAACTTGCCGAGGGGATACGATTGCCTCAAGACCCGTCCAGCAACACCCACAGCACTCCGCGCACCAGAACTGATCCATCAGGATAAATGGGGTGTAGGGATCGATATCTGGGCGCTGGGCTGCTTGGTAAGCTCATTACTTCTCAAGATTGCACTTTTTATACGCGACATCCAGTACGTTCCATCTACTAATTCACACTCTACGCCTAAAAGATCTTCCAGCTCGCAACAAACGAGCCCCTGTTCCCCATCGGAACTTTCGGCCTCTCGCGCGAAGACATCGACGCCGAGCATCTGCGGCAGATTGAGCAGGTTCTGGGTGGAGGACCGGAGCGGTTCGTCGAACATCTTGCGGCCCGGTTGCCGGCGGACTTTGGCGAGCAGAATACGAGGAGTCTGGCGTCGTTCTTGCTTTTGATGTTGCAGCTGGATCCCGCTAGGAGGATGGGGACGGGTGAGTTGTTGGATCAGAGGTATTTGCACGACGCTGTTGAGGAATGATATTGCCATATGCTACCCCTGCAAGATGCACATAGTCATTGCACAAGGGACACATTCCCGATGTCTCAACAGATCCTGTCCATTAGAACAGCATAGCCCCATGAAGCCTATAAACGATCCTTCACCTCCCCCTGCTTCAATACCCTCAGCGCCCCTCCTCCCTCCACTGCCTAGTATACTTAAGAAACAGCCTTGCCCCCTTAAACCACCTGCATGTAACCCCTTGCCTTCTTTGCCTTCTCACGCGTATCTGTAACCCATGCACTATCCCCATGCCATTCAAGTACCCAGGAGCACACCCCTCCAGAACCGAGTAAAACAGCGCCCGGCGCATAATCTGAGCCGTATGCGCCTCCTCGCCTTCCTTGCCAGCTTTAATAATAGCCCTCTTCCTCTGCCAAACACGCTTCTCAGTCTCCCCGATGCAGTGCGCGATATGCTCGCGATGAAACCCAGCAAGAAGGCATTATTCCCTGTAACCGTCGCTAACCATCGCTAGACTCATGCCGAAGAAGAACAAGTTCAACAACCCATTCGTCGCATAGCCGTGCAGGGCTCCAAGGTTGCCCCGGCCCGGCTTGGGACTTCCATTTCTTATCTAGGCAGGGACTGTCCGCCGCGACCCGGGGTATTCATGCCCATGCGTGCGGCTGGACTCCCGCTCGCTTGGGGGCGCTTCGTACCCCGTGCCGAAGATTATGATGTCGAATGCGTACTCCTTCTCGCCGATTACGTGACTAGTCTCCGTTGTAGATATAGAGGGCTGTGATCGGAGCCCAGGAGCTTGGTGATGACTCGTGGGAACTAAAGTTGCTGCCATAGCAGCAAACTCAGGAGGTATATGCCCCACGATGCCCTTGGTTGTACGGTCGGGTACTACCTAGTTGTAGAGTCGGATAGCATGACTCCAGACAGAGACCCAACTTTATAGGCACAGGATCCATGGAATTGCAGCGCACCAATACTCGGTCGACGGTGAGGATGAAGGTGATGAAAATCGTCCACATGTATACTTCAACAGCATGGCGATCACCCTAGCGCTAAACTAAGCACACAGACTCCTTTCTATGCCCTCTGCAACAGTTAGGTTTGCCCATATTTGTGCCCTTGAACAACTATCCAGGTCCAGCAGCAGAGAAAGCGTCCCGTAGCCCCTGGTGATCTTCCCGAAAATTGGAACAATAACCATGGAACGGACAGACTACTCCACAACCAGAGTACCAGACCAATACATTTCCACCACAAGTATCCCTACTGCCGATGTGCCGAATGTGCCGGCCAGTGCGCAAAGTTTGCTAACGATGGACGATCTGCAGGTGCTGATCCCGGGCGACCTGGATAGGTACGTGGTAACTGGGCTGGATGAAGCTTAGGTTACCAACTCAGCACACCCAATACTAGTGCGGGAGCGTTAACGAGACCTTCTTGGCGCCAATAGTCCCAAGCCTAACATCAGTGAAGGGTCTGTTGTGGATAAATATTGGTTGATTCGGCGGGAATCCGGAGGACCCGAGGAGCTGGTTCAGCCACCTGCAGGGGCTACCGTACGAGGCAGGGCGATGGTTCAGGTCTGGGCTTGAAGCCATGGTAAAGGATTCTTCGCTGCGTCATAGGCGCGATCAGTATCTGGAAGAAAAACTCAACGTTACTTAACAGCCAACGCAGTAAGCGGGCGGGATGTGAACCCCGGGGCAGACCCTCACATTCAAGGCTAAGAAAGGCAATAGGTTAAGACAGCCCTCCGGAGCCCTGGAGCCTGAGCACCTGCCACCTGGAGAACGGGAGTAGTCCGACATGATCCGCGGCTAGTCGAAATAAGAAGGAGCAGGCTGTGTCGTGGTGGACGACGGAGTCCGGACGGGGATCGCTGAGATCGCCCGTCACCTTGATCGCCGTGGTGGTTAGACTGATCGTGCATCGCGTTTCCTTGACAGGGTAGGTCCTTTCGATTCTGCTAATCGGCACGACTTGGGCTTACTGCGTATTTTTGTCGATCCCACAGTTCTTCGTTGAAGGTTTGATGTGCAAGCGTCCGGGTACATAGGAAATTCCTCCACGTGGACGGGGCTCCTTTGTTCTCTGCTGTTGACCAACTCGCTGGAACGGTTCAGGGACAGGGACAAACGCAGGAAGGCCTGAAGGCTGGTCGAGGTCATCTCAAATGGTGAATGATAGTCGGTGGGTCTGGTGATCGTCTAGCGTGCGCGACCAGGCACGATGTTGCTTCTGCAAGCCTTTCTGCTTGCTCTATTGCAAGATGTACAATTGACAATAATGTCGAGTCCAGATACGCTAGCATTGTGCGCAGACAGCTGGGCTTGAAAGCCATGACTCGCGAATTGGAGCATCCGGCATGATATCAGACGCCCCGGGGAACGGCGGAGGGCCGGCACATCACCCATGGCTAGTTCCTGCTAGTGGCTGGGTCGCTGCGGGGTGAACGAACTGCTGGCCAATTCCTGATGAGTCCTGGGCCGTCTGAATGTGCCTGACCCGCTCGATGCTCGAACTGCGTTGACTCCTGGCGTTCATAAACATTCTCCCTCTCCGTCTCTCGTATCGTCAACTCTTTGAGACGTCGCAACGGTCGCCTCGCAATGCCCGTATAATGATACATTCATGATGTCTACTAATGTCTAATCCGGCCAATCTCAAGCCCTGGTCTTGCTGGCCTTGATCGCGTCCAACCCTGACAAGCCACGCGCGCCGCCGTCGCAGATGGCCATGGCCTCGAACAATTCCTTCACGTCATGTCCTGTGCCCTTTATTGCGGAGCTTTCAATCGGTGACACTGGCGGCTGTTCGTCCTCATTTTCCAAAATATGTCAAACCATGACTGACATACAACACACAATATAGACCTCCCCGGTCGCTGGTGCACGCCGCAGGTCATCGGCGATGAGACGGTTTCGTGCTGCTTCCCGTGCCCGTTCACGGATTGGCAGTACTCTGAAGGTGCGTCGTCGACACCTTAAACAAGTCTCCAGGTATTCATGTGCATTAGGATTCCACCCGGGAATCGTCCCATGGATTGCGCTCGGCGTCCTCGTTCTCATGGTCATCTCTGCGTTGACGTACATTCTTTTACCCGTTGAAGACACACAGCGGCATTACCTTACATCAAGTCCACTGATGGGATTTATTTTCATGTCGGTGCGTACCAATCAGTCAAGAACGTCTGTGAGCCTGTGAGGATGCTCATAGATTGTACTTTAGGTCGCATTCATTATTCCCCTCGGACACACCGACCACCACTGCCACGACGCAATCACGCCCAACGACTGGCTATCCGACACGACTTGCGCTTTTACCGGTTCTTTGATACTGTACGGCGTCTGGGTTCTTATCATCGGATGTACGCCTTATTCTATCCTTATACGGCAAGGCATAACTAACCGAGCAGGCTTCTTCCGCTCCCTCTCCCTCTACCTCCAACTAATCTGGGACGTTGAACCAGGGAAATGGTTCCGCTTTGTCTCTCTGTTCTTTATCTTTGGCGGCTCACTCGGCCTACTCGGCGTCGCACTCGGCGTGTCCGGCGTCTCCTACCAAGTCGGCAACATGTGCTACACCAGCTTCCCAGACAGCATAGGCTCATTCTGGGGCCCGCTCGTCGGCGTCGCGTTCATCTCTTGGCTCATCCAAATGTTCATCATGGTGTACTGTATCCGCGGCGTCATCACCCGCGGCGGAACGGCGCGGTTCTCGATCTTCAAGAAGCGTGCTGAGGACAGCGATCCGACGAGTCGCGCCGCTCAAGCAAGGAATATCAGACGGAATATCTGGCAGATTCTGGAACTGCAGTGGCGCGCTATTGCCATTGCCTGCTTGATACTGATATATGTGGTTTATGTTGCACAGGCGGTGCTCAGATGGGGCGATCCGAAGCAGTATAGCGACACAGAACTGCAACCATGGGTTGACTGTCTCGTCCGCGAGAAAGGTGACAAGACAGCCTGTCGCGACGAGGCCAGCACTATAGGCCCGAACCAGAAGGAGGCCGTTTCAGCATTGGCGCTGCTCGCTGTACGTCCTCCCCTTCCGTATCCTATAACCCGAACTATACTGACCGTGCCAGTCCTGCGGCGTCTGGGGCGTCATCTGCACAGCCCGCTACACCATGGTCCTCGGCTGGATCGACTGGTTCCACGACCTCTTCGACGCCCTCTCCGACCTGCTGCACGGCCGCGCCCGAAACGCCCGCATAAGCCGCAGCATCACACCGGGCCTGGGCGCAGAGCAGCGCCGGCCCAACACGCTCGATCTCGAACTCGTCCCAACGAACGATACACACTCGGACGCGGTAACCGCCGTAAACCCACCCAGCACCCTCGAAGAAGTCGACAAGCTCTACGGCACGCGCAAGTACCATATCCCGAAAAATAGCTTCTCGCGGCCGGGGACGGTGCACAGCATGCTGTCGCGCTCGAACTCGCACGCTACCTCGCTGTGGAATAATGCGGTGGCCGCGCCGGGCCACGCGTACTCGCAGTCTACGTCGGCGGCGTCGAGACCGAGACGGGCCAGTGCGTTCTCCGGCAGTACGTATACAGGGAGTACGTTTACCCCGGCCGGGAGTATCTATGTGGGTGATCCGACGGTGCAGAATACGATTACGACGACGATCGAGAGCACGAATTCGCCGCAGCATTCGCCGAAGGAGGGGGTGTTTAGTAGGGAGTGAACTCACTACTCATGCCCTACTTTTCTTATATCCAGCCGATACTCTCCAACGGCTGCGTCGATCGGGCCTTTGGACTTTGGGATCTGAGGCTGTCTGCCTTGCAGTGTGAAATGAGGATGAAGATGGGCTGGTGGGTAAATAGACCGCTAGCTGCAGTACCTCTGTTGTATACGGTAGGAGGTTGGCAATGCCATCTGATGATGTGACGATATTAAGGTTGATATCACTGACAGCCGCATCTGCGGGTTTCTCTTCTTGTATATACTATCTACCTACTCTATTCTACCATTCTATATATGCATAATAGCAATGAAAACCACCAAACCAAGACCATAAACGTCCCACTCCCACTTACACCACTCATGTCCCTACAAGATCATTCAAACTCCCGTGGCCACGCTCCGAGGATCAGGACAGGTCCTTAGGATCTCCACCATTGAAAACTCTTTCGTTCTCCATCCCATCTCCATAGTAGGGCACCATTCCGGGAGGGTATATTCAAGGTTGATAACACTTGAACGTTGCTGTTATACGGCAATTGTTAGAGCGCACTCCATCAAGCAGCCGGGCTAGCTCAATCGGCAGAGCGTGAGACTCTTAATCTCAAGGTTGGGGGTTCGACCCCCCCGTTCGGCTTCTGTTTTTGCTCCTGCTGCCTGTGCCTGGGCGTGGTTGATGGAAAATGAAAATTCTTGCACGCGCCGTGGGTGTGGATGTGGATGGGATGTGGATCCGAGGCCCGAGGGTCGTAGCGGACCATGCCGGTTCCAGGGGGTCCCGGCCAACGGCGATTTGACGGGGAACAAACGGGTTATTGTTAGCCCGACATTAGCAAAAAATTAAATATATTTTATAGTTAAATTAAAGCAATATTAAGATAGCTATATAATATTTAATATTAACCAATATTAAAACGCGAGGTAATGTTAGTTAATTATAATATTTAGTATAGCTGGATGGTGTTGGTAAGGGACAATGTTAAGTTAATAAATAATATTAGCTAGGCATAGTATTAACTTAGCTAGGCAGTATTACTTAAATAAATTATTAGATTATATGATTAATATTATTTAAACAGGATGCTGGATAAAAATAGTTAATATTAGCTAAATGGAACATTATGGGCGGTATATAATATTAGCTAAAGTAAATATTAAAAGTAGCAGGTAGTATTACTTATAATTAACATTAAAATGGTTAGGTAATATTAGCTTAATAAAATATTAAATTTTTACTTAACTATTAAAAGTGGCCTCCGAGCGTTGGCCGGCTGTTAAATTTTAGCTTACCTATTAAATTTTTATTTAATTATTAAAAATGGCCTTTAAGTGTTGGCTGGCCGTTGGATTCTGGCTTACCCGTTAAATTTTTACTTAGCTATTAAAAGTGGCCTCCAAGCGTTGGCCGGCTATTAAATTCTAGCTTACCTGTTAAATTTTAGTTTAGCTATTAAAAGTGGCCTCCAAGCATTAGCTGGCTGTTAGATTCTAGCTTATTTATTAGATTTTGGTTTAGCTATTAAAAGTGGCCTTTAAGTATTGGCCGGCTATTAAAAAAAATATTTTTAGTATTGGCTCTGGGCTAGCACTGTTACCCTATGTGTTAATAGTTGCTGCTTACCCTTTAGGTGCATTAATAATAGCGCAGGCTTTATAAAGCTGCTAATACTGTAGTTATAATACTTGTGTGCTGCGTTTATTTAATTAATCACGGGCCTTTTATATAAGGGCGGTGCCTAATCTTTATCCGCGCTAAAGATGGTGATATAAAATATAGTAAACTTACTTAAACTAATTTATAAAAACCTGTAAGCAGCGGCGGCTTTGCTAGCTAATTAATATAAAGGCTTTATCTTAAGTTATTTCTTATTTTAAGTAGGTGGTAAAGATTTATATCCAAGCACATTTGCTATAAGGTCTACTATAAAAAAGAAATGCAACTTTTAATGGCGGATAATACTTTAATTTAATCTGCAATTAACTTATTAGCTAAGAGCTTTTATATTTGCAAATGCTATATAAGTTATAATAGTATTAAGGTAATAGGGGCGCCCGTGGGCGGGCGCCCGCGTGAACATAAACTTACTTATTTAGCTAATATATTATAAATAGCTTTAGAGGTTATATGGGCTGCGTGTATATTTACAGCCTATTAGTATTAATAGCTTAGGTTATAAAAGTTGCTAAAGTTAACTGTTTAACCTCTAGGTGCCCAGCGGGTGATATTCCTAGATGTTTAATGTAAATAGCTAGTATAAACACGGGCGGGGAACTTAAGTTATACTCCGGGATTTTTATTAAAAAACTAATAATATTACTTGCTTTAAAAGATTATTAGCTTTAATCCCGGCGTTCTTTATATATCTATATTATTGGCCCTAGTGTGTTATTAGTCCCCGGAATGTCGCCAGGGTTATTAGCTATTAAATTAAAGTTTTAAATAATACTAGGATTTAAGCCTAGCCATGGTAAATTAATAAGTGTTTTATATAGCCCAGGTATCCGGTACGCAATTAGCAATAATTCCAGCCATAGCATGTATAAATCTAGTAGCCTATTAAATAGTATTAGCATTAATTTTAACCATAAAAAAGGAGTAATATTCCTTGGCAGCTAAGGTGCTGATCCAAGGCTGTTTAAGCCGTGTAACAGCATTAAAACATTGTTTTTAATTATTAAGGCTTTTATTAACCACTCTTATATATAGCTTACATGTTAGCCGGATATTAGCTGGACGTCAGCTAGACGCGTAATAGTAATTTATTATAAACACATAATAATTATATCCTAAGATCACGTTAGTAAAGAACTATTAACAAGAAACTAGTATAACTTTATAATTTTTAGTTAAAGTTTATAATTTTTAGCTAAATGCTAATTCCTGTGGCAAAAGTCTAGTTATTTAAAGTAAATTAAAGGGGTGCAAACGTACCTAAGTGGTAAAAAAAGAGATATAATTTAGAATCTATTAATATTAAGCCTGTAAAAGTTAAAAATTAAACCGCGGAAGTGCAGTTCTTGGCTAAATATTCCTTAAAATTAGGTATTTATAAATAACGCGTGTTATAAACAAGCTGCCGCGTTAAAAAGCTAGGAGATAGTAAACATACTAATTAGCTTAATGTTTTTTAAAGAAATTTTATATTTATAAAGATTTAAGCAAATGCAACCGTAGCAAAATTCTAGACTTAATAGTAAATAAAGTTTAAAGTAGTGGATTGTTCCGTGGATTTATATTTAGTTAGCAAACATCCCTAATTTTAATTTATAAAGAATAAACAAACTGTTCTAACGGCATTCTGTAACTATAAAATGTAGCGGCGATATTTATATAATATAGGACTATGTAATCCAGCCTTATTAATATATAGCTATTATTTAGTGGCGTAGGAAAGTATAAATAGCTTAGTAAAGGGGCTAGTTATAGCGGGGTAAGGTAATATTATAAGATAATTAGTTAGAGAGCTAGCAAGTCCATTATTATTAAAATATGTGGGTAGCAAGTACTATTAGCAGTTGCCAGTAAATAAAAAAAGAAGGTTAAGCTTGCTATGCTTTTATATACTGCTATTTTTGCTGTAGCTTTTTATAAACCTGGTATTTAAGAAGCAAGCTTGTTAAGGCTTTTTAAACTTTACTAATCTTATTTTTTCTTACCACCATGTTTATGCTGCCTACTACCAGGAATAGGTACCCGGATGTAGTCCTGTTATGCTTTAATATATTTATGGTTTTAATAGGAAGCTGGAAAGCTAAATAGGTGTTTAGCTAGGCTGTGTTACTTTTAGCTTTAAAAAAAAGGTGTGTGCGCTAATTTACAGGGCTAGGATTAAATAGCAAAGTTTTTATACAAGGGTATATTAAAAAAAGAACCTGGCAAGGGATGCTTTTTAAATACCATAATAATTAGTATAATTTATAAAAAAGAATATTAAAGAGACTAGAAAAGGTGCTAAACCTTTTAATGCACAACGTACCTGCACAAGTTTTTAGCTTTTAATATAGTAGCTAAAAAGCAAAGGAGAGAAAAAAAAGCTAGAAAAGAACTCTTTTTATGTATTAAAAATTAAATATATTAAGCTATTAAGAGATATTAACATTGTTATGGTGTTTAAAAGATAGAGAAGAATAAGTTGGTGTTACAGGACGGAGAAGAAAAATAAACCATGCCTGCCTTAATAAGATTTTTAAAAAATAAATTAAAACATGTAAGAATAATAAAAAGACTCGCCCGATGTAGCCGTTCAAAAAAACTATTTTTAAAGGTGCTACTATTTATATAGCAGCTGCTATATAAACTATAGCGCCTTTGGAAATATTTTAAAAGGTAAAGGGGGTACCCTTTGTAAGGGCGCCCTAGCACCCAGATGTTCTCTACTGACAATGATAAAGCTTGGCAAAGTATCTTCGACCAATGAGAATGAAGTATTCAGAACCTTGATGAATTTAACCAAAAGGATTGCTTGGAGAACTTAATACACCATGGCCTTTGGCCTTTTTATATAGGCCTTGCCTGGAGGCCTAAGGCCTCCAAGCAATCCCCTAAGCTATCCCTATTTAGGAAGTAGGTGGTATTTAGATATTTTTGTATTCGCGCCCCTTATAGCCACTTCCTAGCTATTAGGGCAATTTAGTGCAAGGTGCGCCTTTATTTTGCTGCCTAAATGGTGCCTAAAGCCCGAGGTCCCCAAGCTAAGGTCCCCGGTTAGAGCTAACACTATGTTAGACCTGATGTTGTGTTGGATTTAACGTTATATTAAGTCTTGTATAGTAATTTATAGTGGTAAGGTTTATTAAGTTAAATAGGTGCCTAAGGCATCCCGCACGGGTAACATTAATGCTTTGCGGTGGTGTGACCTGGGTGCCTTAGGTATTATTTAATGGCGTGACCCGGATTAATGTTGGCTTTAATAATTTTTTTTTCCTTAGAAAAATGGATTGTCCGCGATCCAGCGCTAGCTGTTTTAAAAAGATAATAGGTAAGTAATTTATAATACTAAC